AATCTATTCTTAAATAACTTAAAAAGATTCGTATTTTTAGATTTTGTTACTTTTATAATTAGACATAAAGAATAAACATGAAAAACAAAAATAAAATACTTAACCAATCTTCTTTTTTCTTGCAGTCGGGTTTCAAAGAGAGTGAATCCTAATTTTTTATACTATAGATAGTAATGCACTTAATAATTTTTATTTAATTAAATAATGCACCAAAGAATATAGACTAATAACATGCAAAGAGTAAACAAATTCATTTACCTCTCAAAATTTTCCTGGTTTTTTAACTATGCGACAAGAGCCGTTACAAATTCATCCAAGCTAGTCGTTAACTTTCCCGTGGGAAAATATTTGCACTCTGAATGAAATTGACGATTATTTGTTCAGAAGACAATATTTTACAATACATCATTTGATAGATGAAAATCTTGACTTTCTATTGGTTATAGGTAATATATAATGAAACGTAAGAGAGAACTATCAACAAATTTTGAAAGAGAGGGTGTGACAGGAGGGTCTGATTTTCTATTTGATAGTTCTTCAGCCAAATAAAATTGAAGGCTATAAATATTATGGTTTGTTTGAGCAATAATGATTTTATAGAGCATATTTTATGTTTAATTTCATACTTTTTCAAGGGGTGGTAGATAAAATAGGGATGATGACATGCTAAGAGAAAATGTATCACCTGGGTCACACTAGTGGAAATTCAGGATTTTTTAAAATATTGCCTTGTAGAATTAAGAACTTAAAACTTATATACTATTAAAATATGGATTATTAGCTAAGATTTTACACTATTCAAATTGGTATAACATAAACAAAAAGTAGTTTAATAGAATTTCCAATGTAAGACACAAAACTTGTGTCATGCGCAGTAAAGGATACCTGGGGCAATATGGTTAAGGTATTTCACATTGTAGGGCTTTGCATTTAATCACAAAAAGATATACACACATTAATTTTGTGTTTATATGTATATATATATATATGTTTATGTGTACATATATATATATGTGTGTGTGTGTATTTACTGTGTTAATTGAAGTTTCACGCATCCGGTATTAAGTGTTTCATAGCTTTCTGATGTAGTTATTTAAAGTAGAAACATTCAAGCTTAAATATTTAAGAGATTAAAGAAAAAGATAGTTCCCATAAGGTACTCTCCCTCTGCTCACAAGATTAGCTTTTCTCGTTTTGTGCTGTCCCCTATATCTGAACTTTTTTTAGAAATACATGCCACAAGCCTTCATCCTCCCTCTGTTAATCCAAAGTTTCAGTACGTCTTTCATGCAAATCATCATGCTTCACCTATCCATCAATAGGAGAACACTACTATCACGTATTGCATGTGACTCCCTTTACACGCCACTACAGAACTATCACTTCTCGTGTGGCAGCTGTTGAGTTCAGAGGTTCTATTTTACATTATTTAGTTACCTTGAAGTGATTTATTTTTTTCATTTTTCTTAACTTTATTTCCAACACTTCACAGATGTGGAGTTAATATTTTAATAAAGCATTACCTCTTCGTGTTTCCCGCTTATGAAATCCGAAATTACAGTCACCACTTTGGGTACTTCGCCAGTGTCTGATGCCATATTTTCAGGCGTGGGCGACCCGTCGAGGGGTATATCATCGCTCACTCGCTGGGAGAGTGAGCGGTATATGAAACTACCTCTCTTGCCTGTTTCTGCCCCACTTTCTCCTGAGCCATTTGGGCCAGGCTGTAGACGATTTTGATCATTTGTTTTGCCACTTAGAGTTTGCCGCTCTTTCCTGTTCACTACCTGATGATTCAGCTCGTCTGTCATCGGTCTTTTCAGACTTCATCTCTCAGGCATGTGATGTTTTGTCTCTCACACCTGTTTCCTATGGCCCTAGACCTTCCCTCTTACATGAAACTTCCCGACCCTATTTAGTCTTTCCCCCAATATTGGAGTTCACACGGACCAATTTCCCTCTCAACTAGGGGAGGGCATTAGTATGCCTCATCTCCCACGGACTTCGGATCAGTCTGCCCTTGCTTATCATTGGGCGGACTTTCCTTTTCTCAGCCAACAGTTGTTGGGGTCGGTTCTACTTGATTGGGGGCAAAAGAGCCTCTTCACAGGAAACCTGAGGGGGTTTCCTACTGACATCCTCTTCATCCTTACTCTAACATTGGCTCATCTGTTGTCTTTGGCACTTGAGCTTCAAACGTCATTTGTTTGTTATTGGGACCTGTTGGGCCTTGATGCGTTTTTGGTGCAGACCCATCTCCAGGCTTCTTATGTGAGGGACCTCCGCATAGTGCCGTTTTTGCGATGTTATGTGTTTCACTCGGTTCCTGAGTCTTTGGAGTGGCGGGTGGCCTCAGCCCATCGGCATTCTACCCTTACTTACTTACTTGGTAACTCGTTTGTTGCAGTCGGGCCTGAGTGCAGCAACGAATCCTTTTCCCGACCTTCCCCTTTCCAACCTCTTCTTGTCTCACCCTCCCGTGGTGCCATGGTTCAACGATTTACTCGATGATGCACAATCTGCCAACAGCAGTACTGTGACTATATGGTCTGTTCAGGCCCATTGGGAGCTTGTCTATTGAATTTTGTTCATCTGTGGGGACGTTTTCTCGGCGACATCTGGGTTCACAAGGTGGTCTTGGAGGAATTCGTTATCCCCTCTCTCTCCCTTTCTCCACTATCCAGTGTTCCCATTCTATTCCTTTCTCCTCGAGATCCCTCGACATGCCAGCATCTGCCAGAGGCAGTTCAGGATCTCATCACACAGCAGGCTTTTGAACCAGTTCACCAGGTTCACAGGGGTTTTACTCCCACCTCTTTGTGGTTCCCAAGAAGACTGGGGATTGGCATCCTGTCATTAATTATCCTGTCTCAGTCAGTATGTTCACACTTCTCACTTTACCATGGAGGCATACCTTTCTCCTCAGTGGGCATTTTCTCCAGGACTTTGGTTGATCAAGGTGGACATTTCTAATGCTTACCTACACATAACCTGTGGCAGAGCATTTCCGTCCATGGGGAGGTTTTGTACCAGTTTTGCACCTTACCTTTTGGCCTAGCATCAGCACCACACGTGTTTTGTCGTGTGGTCCACTCCTTTGCTTGACATATTCATGCCATGGGGTTGCACTTCCATGTTTATTTGACTGGCTTCCCCTTGCTCATTCCAAACAGGAATCAGCCTGTCACACTTGTCAGCTTCTGGCTGAAATTGCACGAGTGGGATGGTTAATCAAATTGGAGAAGTCTTTCCTTTGTCCTACCCAATACTTTATCCATTTGGGTGTTTTCTTCAAAACTCATCTCAGTCGGGCCCAACCTTCTCCTCTCTGGCTCCATTCTATGGAATGGGCCATTCGGAAAGCCCTGTCTGTTCCATTACTTAAAGCGTGCAGATTCTATTGCATTTCGGGATGTGGTCCCACTTCCTCCTCCGCAACCAGATTTACATCTGTTCAAGGATGCATCCCTTCAGGGCTGGGGTGCCTAAGTGGATCACCAGGAGGTTTCAGTTCATTGGTCTGTGGATGAAAGTTCTCTTCTCAAACTCCTGGCTGTTCATTGGGCTTTGGATCAATTTCTTTCTCTTGCCAGCTGGTTATGATCCATTTCAACAATTCTCAAGGTGGCACCAGGTCCAGATTCCTAGGTTTTTGCACTATGGATCTTCTTTTTTGTGCCCACAAACATCACATTCGTTTGATGGCATGTCATGTACCAGGTACTTTCAATCTCGTAGCTGATCGTCTTTTCCAACCAGATCTAGTTTATCCCATGGAGTGGTCCCTGCATCCTGCCATTTTTTGGTGGCTCTAGACAGAGCATCTGGGTATGCCCCATATTGATGCCTTTGCCAGCACTATCAATCACAACTTACCTCGGTTTTGGTCCCTGGTCTTCCATCCTCAAGCCAGGATTGGTCTCATCTGTTCCTTTATGTTTACTCTCCCATCCATTTACTTCATCAGATGGTCTCCCTCATCCATGCATGGTCCTTCTGATTGCTCCTTACTGGCCTGCTCAACTGTGGTTTCCTCAGTTGCTCCACCTGCAGGTAGTCCCGACCTGCTCTGTCAACTCCAGTCACCGGAGCTCCATTCTGCGCCATCTGTCTTCATGCCTGGCTTTTGTCAAGTCTTTGGCAAGGAATTCTAGTTTCTCTCGCAGAGTAGCTTCACATTTGGCCTGTTCCATTCACTCTTCTTCTTTGGCCATCTATCAATACAAATGGAGCATTTATCACTCCTGGTCATTGACTCGGGGTTTCCAGGCGTCTTACGCAATGGTTGCCTGTATTTATGAGTTTCTCACATGGCTCTTTGAGAGAAGTTCTTTAGGCTCCTCAATTTTGGGGTTTCAGGTGGCATTATCCCTTACATTCCGTTTTTCCAACTTCCACAGGTTCCATTTAGGTGACTGTAACCATTCGCAGACATCTTGATAACAAATTTGCTCTGTAAGTCATGTTGATTCTTATACATTTTCCCTGGCTATGTATGCTCACCCTTGAGATTGGGTGTTTTACAAGATCATTAGAGTGTAAATTCCTCGTGATAATTGCATCATAATATGCCTGTCCCGGATGATACCACCCATGGAAGGCATGGGTAAAGCAGAAGAGGATTGCAGCCCATCCCTGCCATGCTTAGATTGAATATATCTGTGTGGTCTGCTTTTCAAAATAGAGTTTTGTGATCACCCATTGCACTGTATTGGGTGTTGCAGTCCCTCTGGACCCTCCACTGCACTTTCCCCCCTTTCTTCCAGTGGAGTACTGGAGTCCTTACCACTTACCTGTTCCAAGCTGCTGGGGTGGTTGACCATGGAGGCAACCTGCAGGATGGGTTCCACAAAGATGGCTATAACCACTCAGTTCAGAGTAGGGGTGGTGATGTTCTGCTGGTGTAGAGGGAGTTACAAGATCCTCCAGATGATTGACTATTTCCTAGAGTTGAGATGCCCAAATGCAGTTCACCCTCTGATTGGGTGCCTTTCTCCTGCCCTTGTGCAGATGTCAGCACCCAGCGAGTTAGGTTTTGGAGATCAAGTGAACCAATCACATAAGTTCTCACACAGGTTTTGGGTTGAACATCTTCCCTTATTGACTTGTCTTCTATGTTGTGGGTCGCAGAAGGTCTACATGGCCTGTTTCTGCTTCTGTTCTTGGTTTTTCCCTCGTTGGGTGATGAGGTTGTTACCAACCTGGGTTTTTTTTGTGCTATTTTCACAGTTGCTGGGGTTGAGCGCATGCGATGGACTTCCCACAGATTCTGGATGACACATTCCCTGATCCCTGGCATTAGGCTACCGTAAGTTTCTGAAGTCGATTGTTAGGTTCTCTCTTGACTCAGAGACTTGAGGTGAAGAAGGTATGATCCTCATCCTACCCTCATGAGGATGTCAGTACCCAGCAAGTGAGGTATTGGATATAGTTGACTTACCAAGTATAGTCCATCGTACCCTAGCCACTCTACACAATGGAACACATCCTCACTTACCCACTTTCCATCATGGGATTGAGTGATTCTGATTTCTGTTTAAGATCACATTGATAAACTATCCTCTCCCACACGGATGTGCTCCTTTTAATGTTCTGCTATGTCTGATCCTCCTGATCATGTCTATGTTCCTGGCAAAGAGATACCTGGCTCAGATGTGGTGCAGTACCCCTCCTCAGATCTGATTTGATCTGTTTCTTTCATTTTGGGGGTGTCTTCTGGATGCTTGCAGGGGATATGCCTGTGCTTCTCTCGCACCGGTCCCTCCTCCATTTCAATGTGGGATTCAAGCTCATCTTGTGAGGGGAGGGAGAGTACCTTATTGGAAGTTATAATTTTCCTAAATGAAAATGTATTTCTGATAGGTATTTCCCTCCTCTCACACTTCCCACCCGTCCTACCCATAATCTTCTGGTGCTTGTGTCTTCTGCCAAACTTGGAAGTGATAGTTCGGTAGTGGTGTGTAGTGGGAGTCACATGATAGTACTACTCTCCTATTGGTGGAGAGGTGATGCATGTTGGATTCCAACATGAAAAAAGTTTGCATATAGAGGGCAGCACAAATCAAGAAAAGCTAATTTTCATTTAGGAATATTATAACTTCCAGTACCTTTGAGTTTAGAGTGTACATTTTAAAAATGTTTGGAAATATTAAAAAAATGAACTAGATTAGTGATTTGCATATAATATCTTTCTCATAAAAGTTTTTTAGTCTTTTTTTCACTTTTGTTTTTAAAAACTTTTTTTATCAACAGGTTCTAATATCAAAACATTTCACAGAGATATCAGCCTGTGGTCGGAGAACTGACATTCCAGAATACTTTGCTTTCATTGCTGGGTAAGTTGGACAAGGCATGCAGTAAATATTTTTGTTTAGATTTATCTCCTAAATTGGGTATTGATATTAAAGGGCATGTTGATGTAGTTTTCTTATCTTTAAAACAAATATACCGTATGTTAATATTGACATGGTTTGCTTGTTTATTAAACAGAGAAACTACGTGTACTGTAGCCAAAGAATTTCATTGTTATGTTTTTGAGTCTGAAAACTATGAAACGGTAAGATATTAATATAAGTATTATTTAATATAAGAGTTTTTAATAGCTGAAGATTAAATTAATTTGTTTTTACACAGTGTCGGTCCAATGAACTGATCATATATTGGAGGATTAATGTGTCATATAATTCTCAATTTACTATGTGTTATCTTTATGAAATTTGGCAAGATTTTAGTAAACATTATAACTTCATTGTGCAGAAAAAATAAGATTTTTCGATAGAGTATTTTTACTAAAAATACTTTTTGACATCTTACAGTTTTCCAATTTCATTTGCATAATCTCTAGAACTTATCAAAATATCAAAGGTTTTTTTTTCAGTAAAACTTTATATTTTATCTGTTATTTTCTCCACCCTGACATTAACTGTAGTGAAATTGGCAATGTATGGTAAAATGAAAAGCTTAAAAATGCAAGATAAATCTGAATTACTCTTTTCTCTTTTAAACAGGCTCTTGACATTATTCATTTACTTTATTCTTTTATTGCTCTTTGAGCCATGTCAAATTAGCATAACAAAGCAAGAGCTTAGTACAAGTTACAGTAAGCAAAGTATTGAATTACATCAAGGGCAGCAGTTTGCATACATTCCTTGCAAAGAAATTCTTTTTATTTAATTTTTTCTTATCTAACCTAACAAGCCTCTAATTTTCACATTTTAGTTACTTTCATAACAATAAATAAAAAATATACTTAAAAACCAAGAAATTTAGTACTTACATCTGAGCTCTTTCCTTTTTACTGTCAGAAAAATTAAATAGATGTAGCATTATACGTCTATTTTTTGTGACAATACTGGTGTTAGAAAAATATTTTGTATTTCATATGTAACTCAAAACACAAAATATTATCGTGCACAAAAAGTAAATGTCCTGAAACTATTTTAATTCAAATGACTTTCTAACTAAGCTATAATTAGTTTTAAAAAAATTTGTTAGCCAGTCAAGCCAACTTTCACAATGGCTATTAATGAAACTGAGATTCGATATTTCAGAACCTTCTGTCTAACTGAACTATTTTCATAAAGTATTCATCAAGTAGAATTTTCTCTTTTTGTTAATTATAAATAATTTAATAGCAAATGTCAGAGAGAATTATTGACATTTTTTGAAAGACAGGATGTGATAGGAGGGACAGGGCATGTAGGTTTGACTTTCTTGTTTATATCTCAGTAAAGCATTAGATGCCTTAAATTTACATTGTGGCTTAGCAATATCTATACTATAAGTGTGTAATTTGTGCCAAACTCAGAAGAACATATATAGGTTTAAAAAGGAAATCTAATATGGGCAAAGCAATGTCATGTGATACAGAGAAGTGAAGATAGAGAATTCATTTAAGTATTTTCTTTTGACTTATAAAGTATTAAAATTTGAATTATGAACTACATTTTGATGCCACCCATATTGACATACATTGATAATCAAGTTGTTTTATCTAAATTTTGAATGTAACTTTTTACAAGGTCATGATGTGCACTTTGACACTTCTGTACTCATAAGGTTAATTATTAAAATACATGTGTTTGGAGCTCTTTTCTGCTTTCCCAAAGGGATAAAAAAAGATGTGGGTAAAAGATATACATATATTGTAATCCCATTTTTTAAAAGCCTATGTTTTATTATAAATGTAATTGGCTTGGGGCTTTGTTTGATTAGTATGCTGGTCTGGGGTTTGAGACATAATACTGCTGCACGCACTCCACACTTTCAGCTTTGGCACATTATAAAAGTTACAATTAATTCCATTATTATATTCAAAAAGCTGATAAACTCCTTCTAGCAGCAGTGCTGCAAGCTGGTTCCTTTCTTTTTTAGTCAGTAGTTCAAAATTAGGGATGACTATACATGAAACTTGAAGGTCTCTGACCTGACCGTTTATCACAGATGAACATTAGGTGCTGTTCAGTTTGAAATTTTCAATTCTAATAAATATAGTTTCTCCATGCTTTCCATGACATATATTTAATCCTGCATTCTTGCAGATGCAAGAACAAACATTTGTAATTTAGTCAAATGATGCATTGTTTATTTCTGTGTTGTAATGAAAATTTAGGCTTATTTCATATCATTAAATCATAAAAATAATTTTAAATCTGTACAACTTTTCTGATCAAACTTAAGATTTAAGCTAGGCCCCTCAGTGTAATATTTTTATAGCATAAAAATATCCTATGTTATATTTCTTCATGTATATTATATAAAGTTGAAGAAGGGATATTACTGTTGTTGGTGAAAATACTTAATTAATATAAACTTAAGATTACCCATGTAGCTCTGTGGGAACACTACACACATTTAAGTTGCATGTTGCTATGGTAACACATCATTGCTTTCCTTAGCCTCAGTTGTATTAACTGTGATCATCTAGATTACTAAATCTATGTTTTACTGAATTAAAATTCCCCAAAACTTTTAAGAACATGAAGTTGTAGGTTAATGAAGCAATAACACATTGAGTTGTAATAACAAACACACAGTTGAGACTTTTAAAAGTACTGATGCCGTGTATTATTAAAATATGTTTTGTGTCAAGAGTTAAAATGTTATGTAATCATCAGCAGCTGGTTTGTTTATATATTTTATTAATTGATTTTACAGTAAATATTAGTGACACGTCTTTGCACAATATTTTATAACGAAGCTAATCTATATTTTTAAATGTTTACACGAGCACTATTTTTTTAAAATGATTCTTTCTCTTCCAGTCAAAAACAATTTTATGCAGCATAGGTGAGTATGTTCACTTTCAAGTTTTACAGAGCATTATATACTAAATTGGCAAGATATATATATTAACCGAAACAATGTCGGCTTACTTACTACGTGACAATTACTTTATAAAATGAATTATAGGCTTTTTTGTTGTTTTATTTTGCCAAAACCACAAAATAATGAATAATAACATGCCACTGACTTCAGAATGGTAAAACAAAGTACGAACATTGTAATGGTTATATGATTATCATCTGATTCAGAATGGATGTCATTTATTTTATTTAGTGCTTTTAAGTAATTGTTTAATGTAGTCTGTATATCATTCTACTCATAGATAATCACATATACACTGTGTTTGTATGCATTTGTTTGTGCTGTTTGTCCATTGATTCATAATTTTTCAGAAATATTCTTAACTTTTTATGACATTTAAGACAGCAAATATCCTAGATAAGAACTGATAAATTTCACTAATGCTGTAGATAAGTTTTCTTTATAAATATAATTATAATTGCGCTTCCAGTTGACCATAGGCATAAAATTGAACCTAAAACATGTTATTGAGATGACATTTAAAAAGATGTATTTATATAAAGCCAAAGAAATGTGAAACTTTGTCTAAAAGCAGTACATGAATTTATGTCTCCAATAAACCAATTGAAAGAAAAAAGAAATAAATGATCCAGTTGTTGTAAAGTATTTATTTTTCCAAAACATACTTACCTCCACTGATACTATAGCCAGCTATTTCTCAATCTTCAATGTGCTCTCTATCTAGGTACTGTATATAAGCACCTCATTCAGATAATGTAATCACTTTTTCTTGACAAAGCATCTGGCACAGGTTTCTATAAACAGGAGTGTTGTGACTTTGAACATGGTTGGCATTACTACAATTATATCTTCCTTTATATTTATAAATTATTTTAACAACAACAACAAATAATGTACTATGGGTATGAATTCCCAAGTTAATGATTCTACTGCAGAGGCCAACCATACCTCTTCTCTTCCACCTCTGCTATCTGGTGTTTGTCAAAGGCCAGGGGAGGGGTCACTCTCAGTCGAAGCTGTCCGTGATATGATCTGTTGTGAGATGGAGACATGTATGCAGACCGAGAGTATCTCTCCGGGGGGTTCTGACCAGGGACCAGCTGGGGAAAATTTAGACTTCTTTTACTAGGTGAGCCTCAACAGAGGATCATCCTGATCAGCCGCACATAGCCCCTTTTCTTCAATAAGACATTCTCCACCCAGATGTTTGCTTCATCTATGGTGGCTTTATATGAGGCATCCTTATTCACTATTTTTTGGTATTACAAATATTGAAAGGTTTTTCAATCCTCAGTACTATCAGGTCTACTCAAATCCTTTCATATTTATTGACCCAAACGACCTTTTCAATTACTGAATTGGGATTTTACAGTTGTTTTACATGCATTGTCTCATCCTCCCTTTGAACCCTTAGCTTCATGTTCTTTGTTTCGCCTTTCTCTTAAATTGTATTTTTTGTTGTTGTTGGATCATGAGCATCATCAGTCAGTGTTGTTTGCAATACCTGTGCATTAATCTCTTTATCATTCCACATTTGTCCTGCTTTACCCCAATAGGTCTTTTCTTCCCAAGACTCTGGCAACCAGGGAAGGGGAAAGATCCTTCTCACCAATCCATTTGACAGACTTTTCTCACCTTTATGACTGCTTCGATTCTGATCGTTTGTTATGTCCTGTTAGGGCCCTCAATTGTTATGTGGCTCATACAAACTCATTTCAAGGTAGTAGGAATTAATTGCTCATTCCTTGGAATACTTCTAATTCCCATGAATTATCTCCCATTACCCTAACAAGGTGGCTTCATAAATTTATTCACACAGCCTATAATGGATTATCGTTACAAGGGAGGAATCTTTTGCGTGTCACATCTCACAAGATTTGTCATATCTCTACATCATTAGCCACCCAGTTGAATTGCTCTCTGGAAGACATTGTGCAGGCTGGTATGTGGACCACTCCTAATACTTTTCAATCTCATTACTTACATGATCTGGCAGTTTCCTCTTCTGAGGGTTTTTGACTACTCCCAGTAGCTATTTTGACCACATCTGTTAGGTTTTAACTAGGGTGAGTATTTCCTCAATCATATACTCTTTTATTTTCAGGGTCCATTTGTTTTTCACTGGATCCCACTCTGTGGTGAGTGTTGCCCAGGCAGGTATGCTTTCTCTTTTCAATTCCACACTATCAACCACTTTCACTATAATTATTGCAGGTTGCATCAGACTCTATTGAAATGGGGTGATCCATAAGACCATCTAGGCACCTACTGGATGGTATTATCTCATTATTATGGACTACCACTCATGGACTATCATGAGTAAAGCTAAAGGGGATCCTGCCCTTCACTGCCAAACTTGAAATTAAATAAAGCTGGGTTGGTTTGCTTTTAAAAATGTAGGGAACTTGGTTCACCTATTGCACATTTTCTAGAGCACTGTTCCCCAGGACTCCCCAAAGTATATTACCCCCCAGACTTTATTACTGGAGCTCGGGAGTCCTTACCACCTCCAGTTTCCAGTCACTGGGGTGGTGGACAGAGACGTTTCCTCCAGTGTTTGAGTGTGTTCCTCTACTCTTGGAAAAGTTGGGGCCCTCCTACTCAGATCCCTGGATGTTTTTCCCAGATGTCAGTAGGAGTGGCACCAACCTCTGTGGGAGCCTACTTGTAATTCTGGTTCAGATTTTACATAAATCTATCTGGTTGGGGTGTGCATGGCCCTTCTCTTTGATCAATGCTGGTTTCGTATATTGTTCATGGAAGGAGGTTCACTATCTCCTCATAATTCCGAACGCGAAGTGGTTCCACGTCCTCTCCATAATTCCAGGGGCAAGAGGAATACTCCTTACCCACTTGGTTGGGGAGTGAGGATGAATGTTCAAAATTCCAGAGCGGATGAGTTGTGTTCCTTTGGTTTGGTACGGCATACACAATACCATCATTCTAAGCCTGGGTTGTTGCCTTTTGGACTTCTTCAGGTAGAGGAGAAAGTTTGTCCACTTCAGTGTTGCTTACTTTCTCATTGTGATTCCAGTGGTACAAAACGCACCTCTCTACGGCTACAGGTTGGGATCCAATCAAAAGTATATATACATATGCATAACATTGTGGTCCAATAGCTCTAGCCACCAACATAGGGATGTAAGTACCACGATCCCTTAATTCCAACTCAGAGTTGTGGAACCTCAGCTGTCTGGTTGGGGCTGGCCTATAATGACAATTACTCATATTCTATTCCACCTTTGATATAGGAACTGAGTTCCTGGTGAAGAGCATTCCTGTTCTGGATGTTGTGTGGTTCCCCCACTCTTGTACCATCTTTATCTTGGTACATTCCTGTTCTATACAGACGCTTTCTGTATGGTTCATGCCTGCACCGGCCCCTCCACCTTCTCAATGTGGGATTCTAGCTATAGTACCACTGGAGGTATGTTTTGGAAGTTAACATTTTCCTAAACTGAAAATGTATTTCCAATAATACTTACATCCACTGACACTCTCCCACCCTACCTCTCCATTAAAAGCCGGTTTATGTCTAAAAAGTGATTACATTATCTGAATGAAGTGCTTATATATGGTACTTAGATAGAGGGTGCATTGAAGTTGGTAGAAAATGAAGTGCTTATATAAAGTACCTAGATAAATGGTGTATTAAAATTGGTAAAGAATTTTGCAAATTAGAATTTGCCAAGGGCATTTGAATGGGGTATAAAAGACTGGAGCAAGCATTTTCAATGCTTAGATGGGCAAAGAGTGGAAACCCTGGAGATCAAGAAATAGCTATCGTGTCAGTGGAGGTAATTATTATTGGAAATACATTTTCAGTTTTGGAAAATGTTAACATCTGTTACTTTAAATTAATCTAGTTAATAATTTGATTACACTTCTTAAAATAATATTCACTTTATGTGTAGTTTTTTGGTAAAGAAAACTTTTATTTATTTTTCTTTTTTTTTATAGCTCAAGGATTTGGAAGAACCCACTGGGTGGTATGAAGATATTTTAAGGAACATATATTCAAAAAATCATATTGAAAGATTTTTCTGTTAGTGAACAAAAAGTTATGCCTAACAGATATGGGCTTATGAAACTTTTTTAAAATTTGAAGAGATATTTCTATTTATCATATTATCTATAGGACAAGTTTTTATGTCTTCCAAGAAAACTGCTCTAATTATTCAGGTTCAGTGAATTAAGTTGTGAAAAAAAGAAGAATTATTGTTTTACACAGCACAGCAATTCATTCTTAAAGGAGATTGTTATAAAACAGTTACTAAAAAAAGCCGCATCATTGATTAGTATGTAATGTCCTGATTTCAAGTCAAGAATTTCTTTTTAGCATATTCTAAAAGAAGATTCAAAGTAATGAAAGTTGACTCAGGTAACAGAAATATCAGTATTTTATGTACTAAAAGAATACTTAATATGACTAGATTTTTATGCTATACACATAAAGACATGAAATATCATTTATAGATACTGTATGGAAGTATCTATTTATAAAATTCAAACAGATGCCAAATTGTTTATTTTGTGAATTTTAAAATGTGTGTGTATATACTTTTGACATAATATGTGGGTGCTGCCAGATTTTGGCATAACTTATCTAAATGTATTGAAAATACTTAGCTGTATTATTTTTTCTGGTTAGCATTAGTAACTGATAAAAGATGTATAAGAGTACTTTATGCATGATATTTTGTTATGAATACTACACTCATTTGTAATTAATTAATGCATTTTTCATGTGATCTCCAGGTACTGTTAACTATTTTCAATTGAATAGAATTCTGTCATATATTTATGCTTTTCTACAGTTTTAAAGTGAACCATTAATCTGTTCAAGTTAATTTATATTGGTCCAACTTCTGTTGTATCCCTAGTTTATTTCCCATTTACCTCTGTCCAGATCATACTAAATATATTTATCTAGTTCATACCAAGTTTATCGTGCTTTTCTTTTGGTCATATTAAATGTATGTTCTATTTTGTTACTTAGTCAATATGAATTTACCTTTGTTTTTGTTATCTGGTCCATGATAAAATTGTCTTATTTGGTGTGTTTCTAGTCAACATCATATTTCTAATGAAAGCAGAACATGTCTCTCTCTCTCTCTCTTATATATATATATATATATATATATAGTGTGTGTGTGTGTGTGTGTACAGGAACACCACATATATACATACAAAACAAGTTTTTAAGTAGGTCATATATCTGGATCTTGGTTACATGAAAGTAATATAAATAAAAGCAACCTAGGCAGGCCCACTTGAAAATTATTGCCAATTTTGTACAGTTGTTAAGTAACAGTTCTCTGAAATGAATACTACATATATAACAAATGTGTCTCTGTAGCACACATCTTGTTTTTAATAAAGCCAACATAATATGGTGATAGATAACTACTAAATACTGGTTCCAAAAATTGCATTTTCATTACATACAAAATTGTTTTTATTATTATTATTAAAAATCTTACTTGACTAAATAATGACACGTTTTGTGCACCTTTTTAATATAGTTTTAGTAACTACAACTTGATGTGATATACAACATGTTCTAGTGCTCTAAAAATATTTCATATTAATTAGAGAAAAGCGATCCATATGACCGGTGTTCGGGTTTTTTGGTGCTGGTATGAATTTGAATTTTTTCAAAAATTTTGGGTTAGAGAGAAGTTTATAGCGTGATATATTTTCCTGTGACTTTAAAAACATTAATAATTAACCATTACATTAACGAGCCTTTGAACAGATGTAATAAAAACGAGGAGAAACTTTTCAGCTTTGCACCAGTGGTGCTTATGTATTATATTTCTTATAATGTATTTTATAGTCTTTTTCTTTGTATTGAAATGAAGTATTTAGGTTTCTTTTATAAACCAACCTTAAAAGATTTTAAACCTTATAAGGGCATTACATAAGATTAGCACATTTTAATGTTTCCATTTGTAACTTCATCACTCTGAATATTTTCTTAGTAACAAATAGAAATTATTTAATACTTATCTTAAAAGAAAATATATATATATATATGTTATAAGATACTTATAGTTTGTTGACTTTTAAAAAACCAAAACATTTTAATTTAATAAACTAAAGTCATGAATGCTTTGTGTGAATGCACTATAGGTTGGCAGAATAAGGACTGCTGTTCAGAATTTAAAAAATAACTTATACTTTGTTATATTTCTATCTTAGTCATTTGACTGTCAAATTACTATTACTGTTATAATTTCAGAGATCTTCTTGCTTTTAAGATGTGTAATTTTTACTTCAATAAATGCTATATACATAGTTATTTTTAGAATATGTTTTACTACTGTAAGTTATATTAGGATATTAAAATGATTGCTAGTATTTACATTCCGGAACATGCTGGCACAGTGAATAAAATCAGTATTTTTCTACTTTAGGTTCTTTCTCTTTCTATACTTATGTGAGATGTGTTATTTTATAGTTAGGATGTCATTCATAAGACCATATTTATTATTCAATATATTTTATGATAGCCATTCTACAAAACAAAACATGACCAGTTTTACTTGACTATTTTTCAGCATTCCAGACAATAGAATTAATGAAACATTTATCAGCAGGTGTTAGGATCTTTTGGTATATTTGCAATTAAAATATATTGAAACATGTGTTGCAGGTGTTAGGACCTGTTGTTATAGTTATAGATAAACTGTATCCAAACATTTTTCAACAGTTGTTAGGATCTCTTGGTATAACAGTGGCTCAGCAGTAAGTCTTAAGGTTTATAACGCTAAATACTGAGTTTCAGTACCCGTGATGGGCACAGCACAAATAGCCCATTCTGTAGCTTTATGATTATCAGCAAACAAACAAGTTCTTGGTATACATGTAGGTAAAATATCAAACATTTGTCAGCAGATATTAGGTTCTATTGGTTTAGTTGCAGGTAAAGTATATTAAAACAATTTTCATCAGATGTTAGGATCTGTTTTTGTAGTTGCTTGTAAAATATATTCCACCATTTTCTAGCAGACATTATGAGCTATTGGTATACATGCAGACAAGATATATCCACACATTTGTCAGCAGATATTAGGTTCTATTGGTATAGTTGCAGATAAAATATATTGAAACAATTTTCATCAGATGTTAGGATCTGTTTTTGTAGTTGCTTGTAAAATATATTCCACCATATTATAGCAGACATTATGAGCTATTGGTATACATGCAGACAAGATATATCCACACATTTGTCAGCAGATTTAGGTTCTATTGGTATAATTGCTGGTAAAATATATCTAAACATTTGTCAGCAGATGCTAGGATCTGTTTTTATAGTTACAGGTAAAATATACCTTAACTGCTTTTCACAAAGGCGAGTTGAGAAACTCTGAAATTTGATGGTGCTACTTTCCAATTTTCTGCCTTCTGTTATGAACATATTAAGTTCATTGAGAAACAATATATTTGAACGTAAAATACCAAACATTTATTGTGAATTCTGACTTTGGAGCTCTCATGACTATTCCAGGTGCATGTTGAGTTCAAAAATTGCCTTACCCCAAAAAAAAGTGTGTGTTTTTAACCTGAATAATATTGATTCCTCATCAAATTCAAGTTGAATGAACTGTAAAGACAATTTCATAATGCTTCAAACAAATAGTATATTTCTAAGCCTTGTGACTGGGCCTTTAAGATACAGCTTATAAACTGTAGATTTAAAAAAGAAAAGGTTTTAAATAAAATGTAATGTATTCACTTATTGGTGTTTTGTTTACTCTGTTTCTTGTTCTTTAAAAATATTCATTTTACTTATCTGCTTCATGTATTTAGAGTTAACAAGGATAATATGTTTATTGTCTCCTTAGAGTACTAGGTGTTACTTCTGTGTTTATTTGCAGTGATTGCTGTTTAGTTAAGACATTTCTTTCTTTTTTTAAAAGTTAGTTTGATATATTTCAGTATGTGTATTTTTATAATTACTCTTGTTGATGATGTTGATAGTAATAGTTTGTCACTAATTAAACATATTGTTTTAAGCACACAAGAAACTGATTAAACTTTTATTGCATATATATATATATAGATATACAAGATTGGACCAGCATTAAGAACATATTGTGTAGGTGGCTGTTTGGTTCTGTTTTGGGATGTTAGACCTGCTTTGGTTCTTTATAGCAAGTCATATCTGAAAGGTATACTGAAGAATTAGGTTCCATTCCTTTGCATCCAACTTGGCTTAAAACAAAGCAGTCTTGTTCACTCCAGTTGATCTTCCAACTGCTGTTACATTTTACCTGAAGCGATAATTGACATGGTGTAACAATAATTGGCATTGTTCATCTTCTAAGCCAAGAAGTTGGGCTCCTAGGGTCTGTCCGTTTTGAAATTTGGTTAAGTCACAGTTATTTCCCATGTTGCTTGATAACTAATGTGGAATAGGGCTTACATATGATTATTGGAATAATGAACTAACCCATTAGCTGAGGATCTAGTACCTTTAAAATTTGGAAAAGAATGGATGCATCATTGAGCAACTGTTTCTGCTACTTTGTCCAATTTGTGTATATATATATAAGTTTCATAGTGGTTAATTTTTTGAATTAATCTAATTTTAATTTTTGTACACTGTTTGCTGTGACAGTTTGGCTAGTAATTTAAAGATTGAGTTCTGTTATTTTATTTTTACTCTTTTGGTTTTCTCGGTTTGAAAGTACTAATTTCTCTTCTTTTAATGTAATTATTATGCTAAAATTTGTTTCATTCAATATGATATTTAATGGATTGGTGTGACAAATGATTCGTATCTGTGGTTAGTTGTTACCACAGTTGTTATTAACAAATTTTGTTGGTAGAACTCTTTGGAATTGCTCAAATCTGTTTCTTTGACACAATATGGCCCAGCATGGCCAGGTGGTTAGGGTGCTCAAGTCGCAATATGCGGGTCACGGGTTCAAATCCCCGTCACACCAAAAAGGTTGCCCATTCAGCCGTGGGGGCTTTATAATGTGACGGTCAATCTCACTATTTGTTGGTAAAAGAGTAGCCCAAGAGTTGGCGGTGGGTGGTGATGACTAGCTGCCCTCCCTTTAGTCTTTCATTGCTAAATTAGGGATGGCTAGTGCAGATAGCTCTCGTGTAGCTTTGCACGAAATTCAAAAACAAACAAACAAATTGATGCAATATACATGTTTTAATTAGGACTGATTAGCAAGTTTGAACTTGTTACCAGCTGAACACCAAGACCATTTTGTTAATGATCAGAAATTATCAGGGTTTTGTGAGTGTCAATTTACTGATATTAATTTGGATAGTGGTTTAGAACATGCAAATTAAGTTATTGAATTTTAACTAAAACTAGGAATTTCAGTAAAAATATAGTTAAGTGACATCATTTGGGTGATAAGTGAATATCAAATCATTTGTCAATGGTACTATTGAACATCTTTAGAAAACTGGGGAAGAATAGCTGTTTAAATAATAGTAAAGTTTTAACAGTGTTATTACATAATTTTACAACTTTTGCTGCTACTTTGCTGACTGAAGATGTAGAAGGTCTGAAAAAAAAGTAAAAACTTTCATATAAATGTAATTATCAAATTCATTTTGCCAAAAATGCTAAAGTTATATAGAAATCTTGAAACGCAGTATTGTAGTAACACTATTCAATTTTCATGTGTTATGACCCGTGTAAAAATTTGAGTTACTGTAAGGGTAGAATTTGTCTCTGGGTTGTGTTACAAAATTGCACAGTTTTAATTGATTGATGTAGTTGTATATATTTGATCATATAAAGTTAACTGTGAAAATAGGAAGTTTCTTTGTATGCGATTCTCAAATAAAGCTGTCCTTCAGGTGTTGCTTACATAAAAAACAACAACAGAAATATCTTGAAGTATCATTTTTCTACTTTTCAACATCTTGTATTTTATCAAAATATACTGTGCTATATGTAATTAAATCTACATATTGGATGTTCACTGCTGATTCCTATCTGGTTCCATCAGTGGTTATTGTTGGCTCCTATCTGGTTAAGTCATGTCATGAGTAGTAATTGTTGTTTCCTATGTGATTAAGTTAATATATTAGTAGTGGGTTCCATCTTCTTAAGTTAGCTAAACAGTCAACTCTGGATTTTTTTTTTTTTCTAAAAGATTTGATGAAGATTGAATACTGGTTCCTATCTGAAGAAGTCAACATGTCAGTAGTTTGTATTGGTTCCAATCAGTGGTTACTAGTTGATACCACTTGGTTAAGTAAATACATTAGTAGTTAGTACAGGTTCAGAGTTGATTAACTCATCAGATTGGTTTCTATATGATGAAGTCAATACACCAATAATTAGTTTTTGTTCTAAGTTGGTTATGTCATCACTGATTAATTTTGATTCCCAGATTATAATGATTCTGTCTAACTTTTTTTTTTATAAATAATTTGAAAAGAGCGAACATTCCTAGTTCACATATTTGAAGGCTAAGCATAACCCATAAAGAGTGACATTCAGTTATAATTTATTAACAACACAGACTCGACGATCAAAGATATATGAAGAAAAACTATTGTTTAGCATGGTATTTAGGGTAAGGTAATGTTGTACCGAAATGTATTATTTTAATAATGTAGTTATTTTGAGACGTTTGTATTTTCCATGACAAGCTGTGGAGAAATGTGTACGAGTTTGTATTCATATAAGTAGTATTTATTAAAACTAATTTGGGCTGGTTTAAAAGTTTACTAATGAAAATTATTATTATTATACGTTATGGAAGAGCATGCATTTATGGTTCAAAGAAAGTACTTTTATTAAATTAAAGCTGAATTTTGCTTTACGTGTGTGTGTGTGTTTGCTATCAATAAAGTCTTCTTTACAGACTGACCACTTTATTCGGATTCCCAAAAGCACATTCATTATATATTTGTAGCACGCTCCACATATCTTATTATAATGGGGCAATGGCGTGGCCGTCTATATATATATAGCTATCTATGTATGTGACCGGAATAATAAATACAATGATGATGCCATCTGTTGTGCTGAAATACAAGATTTCAATGCCAGTAGTGATGATTAAGGCTTATGAAATGTGTCGCCATCTATTGAATGGCACCACAAACGATTCATAAACAAATTTCACAGTTTGGGTATTTATGTTTCAGATAATTAGAAAAATAACTGGTATGTTCAACAACTATTTCTTTATAACAGAACATAAAAAGTACTCTCCTCACAACAATAACACGACTTTCACTAGAACTACGTGAGGGTTTGATTATATCTTTATTGATGTAATTTTTAAATGTAGTACTTAAAAACTGGACTTCTTAAAAATAAGTTTTCAATAAAGGATACCACTTTTAATAAATAAAAAATTACATTTTATATCAGTAAAATTTATGAAAACTTTGAACTCTGTGCGTTGAATCATTTTGATGCAATGAGTTGCATGTGACTAAAGAACACAATCCGAACACTTTTCCCGTGCAGTACTTCCCAGAAGAAAAAAGTTTTATAACAAGTGTTCACTTTTTTATTTTTTACAATGAGGTATGAATTCTGCGATTACTAGCAAAACAGCGGTGTTTCTGTTACTAACGCAAATTGATCTAATTATGTGATGTGTCACGTGACTGCGTGTTCACTTTACTGGAATAGCTGTCATGGGTTTACAAAACATTGATTAAGATGAGGATTCTTTTCAATGAGCACGTCTAGAAAGTTTCTTTATAAAGATAATTTTGCCTAGCTACATAGAGACTTCATAGTCTGTCAACAATGTAAGCAAAAGGGAACACGCCAACCTTCAATAAAGACTGGTCGCTAAACGCTTATGACTGACCCCGAAAGACAACAAAGTTCATGCCATTTCACAGTTGACCGGTTACTTCAACAGTGATTAAGGTTTGATTATCTCCAACTGTACGGTCTTTAGTGCATTACCAAGACTTCGACTACCTCCAGCTGTACAATCTGAATGATATTACCAATACTTCGACTACCTCCAGCTGTACAATCTGAAGGACATTACCAAGACTTCGACTACCTCCAGCTGTACAATCTGAAGGATATTACCAATACTTCGACTACCTACAGCTGTACAGTCTGAAGGACATTACCAAGACTTCAACTACCTCTAGCTGTACAGTATGAAGGACATAAACAAGACTTTGATTCTGTACAGTCTGGAGGATATTATCAAGATTTCGACTACCTCCAGCTGTACAAT